GGCCAGGTGTATATTGTCGGTGTGCGTGTAGTAGCATGCCGCACTGCCATCAATGGCCTCAGTGACTATTTTTACCCTTAAAGCTTTTAGTTTGAGGCCATCCGCAACTTTCTTTAGTGCGGCGTCACTACCCGCACACCATTCTCCCAGTGCCCCTATCACAAGCGGGAGTACTTCGGCGCTGTGGTAACCGACGGTAATGAGGTGGGCGCAGGTGGCTTCGTATTTTTGGCGCTTCAACATCTTTCAACATAATATCAACATCTTTCTCAGTCGAGACGCAGGGCGCAACTAACTGTCGTGACTCACGTACACAATGCGCCGAGTCGGCACTTCACTCAAGTCGCAATTCCCGAAGTTGCTCAATTCATTTGACGGTGTGGCGTCTATTTTATATCTTTAGTGGAATCTACAATATCACACATTGTTGGCGTGGCAGCTACAGTCTTGTAATAAATCTGCGAGCAACTAGCGTTTCTCCATAAACGGCAAGTGGCTATTTGTGAAATATTAATTGTTTTAGTGCTATAACAGAAACACTGAGCCCCGTGGGCAACTTTTGTTTGTATTCGATTTTAACGTAGCAAACTACATAAGAAACGGCAGTTGAAGATAACATAAAATTCATTTTCGTGTATTCTTTTTTTTTAATTACACAAAATTACTTTTTTAAAATATCTCTCACGCCTTCAATAAGTACATTTCTATCAATTAATATACATTATTGCAGTGTAGTGTGGAAGTGTTTCAATTGACTTTCAATAAAGTTTTCCGTGTAAAAGAGATTCAAATTTCACATTTACAGTAACGCATAAACGACATTTTCGCATAAACCGCTTCAAATGTTTCAACGAAAATTTCCTTATTTGACGAAGTTTTACTCTTCTATAATATCCTTAAAGTAATATTTTAGTTCTACTCGTAGGAACCTGAAAAATTGAGAATTACAAAAGAAGTTCTTTGAGTGGCTGTAGATAACAGCTCAGTAGTGTATGTGGCTAGCCTGAAAAACCAAAACCAAAGAAATTGGAAAACTAGTACGAGAAAGTATGTCACTATTACTCACAGAAACATTGTAGGTAACAGTATTCTGGGTTTGAAATCATTTATAATTTCCAAAGACTAAATTTATTTTGAAGTATGCTATAAGGATTCCATTTTATCCTGATTCAAAATTGCAGTATTTTCTGATGTTTTGATCTGTCAACACCCAGTAACTTACACAAACTTACCTCTCAGAAAGGCATCAGCTCACTATAGACCTGGAAAAACTCCCAGATACAAAACCAGAATTAAGACCAGATTTTCCCTACATTCCTTCAACCCACTATTTTCAAACATTAAATGATTCTTCTAAGTTTCTTATTGTTTTGTCGCTGACTGTTAAAATTAAAACTTTTAATTAGTTAAGTATAATTTTAAACTAGATTAAGCCATTAAATATTTGCAAAGTTTTCATGTAAACAAAACAAAGTAATCTCAACAAACAAAAAAAACTATTTAAATAAAAATAAATAATAAGCCAGTATTAAAATGAGCTTTTTTTAAATTTTCTAGTTATGAAAACATTGTAGATTAAAAATTAGATTTATCATGAATTTAACTGAACATAAAATATTTGTATGCAACATCTCAAGAAAATGTGGAGCAAGAATTGTTCGTAATTTCTCGGGCTACAATGTTCATGTTCACAGAGTGTTATTCAACGTTATGGCACATCCTGACATCTAGTGGGGAATATACACACTACGCAACGAACTTCTAAGCGCTTACGCGCTCTGACGGGGGTTCGACGAAACATAGAGTAGCGTCTATTCACTGCAGTTTTGAACCATTCCGAGGATTCGGCCTTGTTACAGACTGGTAACAAAGAAATCCATAATCTTAAGTAACATATACTATATACTTCAGTACAAGTTAATTGAATTTGTTATATAACTTATATTGCATATTACAACCGTAGCTCATCCATTTTTCTCATTGGCATTTTACCAATATTCGGAAATGTAAGGCGTAGTGCGTGCAATTTAAAACGGAAATCCTCGAAATAACTATTCAGGGAACGCACACATAAGATACTCATCGTAGATGGGCGATTTCTGCTGTTAAAACAGGGGGGGGGGCAGTGAAAGTATTAACATTTTCACATCTACTTTACCGCAATTGTTCGAAATAAATCAGTGATTTTATTTTCTATAAATCTAGGTCAGGCGAGCGGAAACTAATTCTCACTCTCATGGAAGCGAATCCATCGAATGGTAATGAACATTACGGTATAGTAATTTTGCCACAGTTAACTTGTTTTATGGGTAAATGTTAGATTCAATGTTTGATATAATGGCTTAGCAGTATTGTTTATTTGGATTTAAGTGGGTAAATGTTTGTATTTTTAAAGATAGTTAACATTTGTAGTTCGGGAATTGTTGCATTTAAAATTTTTATACATTGTGTTCGTGGGTGTACATGAGAATAATCCCGAAGAGGGGAATTATAAATTATTAAATTGAAAAGAAATAGTCGCGAATAGGGATTGCACCCAGTAAGAGAAAGTCGCGATAACATTGAAGATAACAAAGAATTCCTAAACACAGATTTAGGAATTTCCGAATAGCGGGCTGAATAGTTCGAAACAGTCGGGAAACACTTCCAGTATACACGGACATGAACACATGAACTACACCACAGAGGAACCCAGAACATCCTCTTCTGGTGAAGACTGTGGCATCAAATCGGCCGAGAACATGCCGTAAGCTTACGAACTTTTATCAAAGCTGTATGGTTTAGTAATGTTTCAAAACCATGGAACCATTCATTGATAATGAGCTCACAATGTCAAAAATTTTGTAAGAACAAATTAATTTTTGTGCGAAAGAAAAGGATGATATTTCATTGAATTGCCTTCAATTCAATAATTAGTTAATTCTCATACAAGATCTTAAACATAAAACAAAAATCAGAGCTAGCCAAATTATAAATCATTTGAGACGTAATTTACGAGCATAGTAGGGCATTGAAATAAACAATATTATTGAAATGATTCGGAAATTAAACTAGTTAGAAATGGTCGCCACAGTTTAAAGAGGTTTAAGAAAAAGATAATTGGATAAATATAGAAAATTAATGGAAAGCTAAGTAATTGGGAAGACAGAAATATTAGAAAATGTCTGCCCGACGCGTTACAAGTTAATCGTGAATAGGAGGAAGGTTACAGTAGACATCATAAATGAGCTGAATAAAGTATTTTCTCCTTTATTTCTTACCTTTTCCCAATCACTCGAAGTTACCGATAATAGTTCCGATGTCCGTTTAATTGGAATAAATGAAGTTATTCTATATTCCATAGCTTAGCTTGGTGCCTGCGACAAGTATTTTCGCGCCAAAAAAAAGTTTTGTTGTGCTAAGCAAGGTAATAATAAAAACCAATGCTAAACGAAACAGTTGTGTAGCGCGTTCATCCTCGAAGTGAAATGTATACGAAAAAGTATCCATAGAAAAAGTTTTTTTTTAAAATGTTTGTTTCATTATAAAATTCATTTCAGTCATCTTCATTAATCAGTAGTAACGATTTGTTGAAAAGCACCAAAGACGTGTTTTTGAGAATTCTCTTAGAATGTTATGGAAGAATATGACAAGAAATCGGTCAGTTTTCCACAATTCGTCACCTCAATTATGTTTACTCCATGATAGCATTCTTCCAATATTTAACAGTGGAGCAGACTCGCGCGGGTTACCCGGTAAATATTTATGTATGATGAATGGGGTTATGCAAGGGAGACAAGCCACGATCGAAACTCCAGACTTTCTTTAGAACGCGTGATTGGCCGCATCAGGAGAATCCACAAGGGTTTGCGCGTGAACCTGCTCAACACACAGTTCGGTAAAACATGTGGAAGCGAACTGCCCTGTGAGCGCATTCGGGCTAGGGTTATAAGACGCGCAATAGGAATTTAACGTTTGATAAATGTGCATGGGCTATTTAGGGAAATTACACTGCCAATAAACCCAATGTTCACAGTTCACCCAGTGAATACTTCAGTGTAACAGAGATACATGCAAAAGAAAGAAGAGTACTTTCACCCAATTACATTTTCAAATTTAAACTTATGTTTAAACAGTACTTCAAGCACCGATATTTTAATCGGAAAACTTAAATATTTTGAGACATTTTAGAATGGTTTCCGAAATGGTATTGAGATTTTTCATTAACTACTGCTCATTAGAAAGGTTGTTCTAGTGAAATGTAGATTTACAAATTCACAGAATCCATTCCATGGCTATTCACTGGACAAGAGGATTCATAAATATCAAAGCAAGTAATTACATTCCTCTAATGCAGGTCAACAATATGACAAGGAGAGAATTGAAGAACACACTTAGCATTGTGATTTTATATTCAGCTCTAAAACATACATTTATGTACACATGTGCATATCCATTCATAATTTCACTCTTCTCACAGGAATCACATATGAATAGAACAGAAGAAAAAACAAAATATTTATATAAAATAGGGAAGCTTTCATGAAATGTCTGAAACATAGAACTGCTTCACAAAGATTATAATCACATAAATATATATTATCATTAATTACCAATAGTCATATATCATGTAAACATATATAAACTTTCATTACAAGCTGCAATGTTATGGTACATATTTACATATGAATTGGCTATGTTTCTGTTATGAGTGCATTAACATCAGTATACTGCTTGCAAGCGTGGGTTTCACTCTTCTACAACTTCTTCCTGGATACATCAGGAAAATTATAAGCCCACTGAAGTCACACAATTTACACATGGAACCTTATCTTGCAACACACAATGATCGTCTACGAATTTTCTACCCACAAGGGAAGCTGCTGCATACATCACATGTACCACGAAGACCAGAATAACAACAACTGGAAAAGCATGCAAAATATAACATATAATTCCGTAACACACACCAACACGTCAACAAGCCACTCAAGGACTCGTGTTTCCAGTTGCACGTTACTCTAAATCTTCTCCATCCTTAAAACACAACATTAATAACAGCGTTACAACAACAGTAACCGATTAAAAACAGGTGGCGACTGAGAGCGGTGCAACGGGTACAACGCTAGTCAAGCGCGTTGTCCTTGACCTCAGCAGCAAATAAATACGGGCGATCGCGCGGGCCCTGAGGCCGGGGCCAACGAGGAACTTGGGGGCGTGGCGGGGCTGGCGGGGCGGGGTCAGCGGCGCGTGTCCGCCACGTGTGGCTGGCGCGTGTGGCGCGGGTCCCCGCGCCGCCGCCACCAGGGCGTCCCGCTGCACGACGCGTCCAGGTCCTCCAGGTCGTCCCTGCAACACAGCACCCACCCCCACTCGTTAATAAAGCTCAGTCGCTGTAGAAACGTACGTACGATGACTTGAGACCACTGTCAATGTAATTCAATGTACGTAAATCATTTTATTACAATTTGTTAACGTAGAAGGGAGGGGAGACTCATGGAGACTCATCCTACGCAGTAGCTGATACCACATATTCACATACTCTATAGGTGTAATTAATATATTATAGTAACGAGAGTAATTTAATACCTCACATTAATATTTTATAAATAAGTATAAAACAACAAATGAAAATATGTTATGTCCTTTTTGTGAACATAAAGACATCTTTACAGATCACAGATACAGCAGCTAATAATAAAAAACGGAATGGCAAGAGTTACTTAAAATACTTTCCCCAACAGAAATATCAAGGATATTAATATTATACGAATTAAAAAAAATCGTTTGTATGGGTTCTATCTCAACAGTCCAGATTTAGGAATCACGGTCTCGTTTATTCGGGACGGACAGAATTCTAGATAGTATAAACAAATTCACAGCAAATTTATCGCATATTAATACTTTCACATCTGGAGCAGAAAATTATAAAATGGAAGGGCAAGGGAAGAAATAAGAGGTAATTTATTTTTGCATGCCTTTGTACAATCGGGAATTCCACATTCCATTAGGATTTTTTTTAAACAAATACTGTTTGCTTATAAGGCAAATCGGAAATAAATCCAACGAAACGAGCCGCAGTGGCGCCAGCGACACAGCGTCTACCGCATTCGCAGCCCACGCGTTTGGGCAGCTGGCGATTGCGTTCCCCTCCCACGCGCGGCTGAGTGATGTATCCAGCGAATGAAGCTCTTGATCACCCGCTCGTCGATGCACAGCGACGCGTCATAAATTAACGAAGTTTGCGCGGATATCGACCTATCACCACGTCCTCGCGATGGATTGTCGCTGCGCGATTCGAATCACGCCTCCGTCAACGTGCAGCACATGACAAACAAGTGCCGTGGATGGAGCTGCGCAAGCGTTGGGGATTTCGGACGTGTCTGTATCAGAGTGAAGAAAAACTGGCAAAAACATAAATATTTTTGCATAACACATATATATTCCTTGCGAAGTTCGTCAGCCAGAAGATGGAGAATACATTTTATTACGAGATTATAATTGAATCGATATTTTTGAGATGTCTGACACTTGTGTGTTAAAAGACGTCAATGAAAAAAAGGGATGGATTCTATTTCCAAGGGGTACACAGTGAATTATGCACATAAGAAAACAATCATTATAGAACACGCTAAATGACAATAGTTACTATATAAAAACACGATATTTATTTGTACTTCTTACGTTGTTTTACGTGTGGCTACAATGATATCTAAAGGTTCTTTTCAATAGCACGGATTTAAAACGGTAGTGCGTCGACTCTTTTGAAAAAAGTTAGAATAGAATAGTATTGCAGCGAAACTCAATCCGAATAAATGACATTCCCAAAGAAAAAAAAATAAGCAGGCTAGCATGTTCTATTTTATTTGTCATGTCCCCATATTTACATCGCAAACATTTCAAAACAAACATAAACTTTCAAAATTACTCAATCAGTTTGCTTAATTGTTCGAAAGAATGGATGGTTTTTCGGCTTCAGTAAATATGCACGTTGTTATATTTAGGCATGTTCCAGAAGTCTGTAGAAATAATTTGTGGTGGGTCCATGTGGTGTGAATTGACGGAGGGACGGGGGGGGGGGGAAACAGATATCGTCCCCTGGTGGAGAGTTAGATTTGAATGTTCTCTACTAGAAAAGTATTAATTTGTCTCTGCCGGGACACAATTCTGTGTATCGTTTATGATTTTCAGTTCTGTACAATTGGAAGAAAATTTCCACGAGAACTAGGATTTAGTCAAACTGTACTACGTAAGAAATGGTTTCTATTCATTCGACAATTCGTGTATTCATGGAAATCTCCCTGGCGTTTTGAACGCCCCATCTGCCCCGAAGCGGCAAGTCGTTCCCTGCAAGGGGAACGGTCGCCGCCGAGGCGCCGAAGGCTGCTCGAGGTTTGCGGAGGCGCTCGGTCGGCGGCGGCAGCAGAAGTGCGCGCGCAATGGCGAGCCGATGACGAAGTGGCGATGTTCAACAACGCGAAAGCGCACACGAGCCAGCCGGAAGCCATAAAATTAATTTTTTGGGGTTTCTCCCTTTTGCGGCCGTCGAAGTGAATGTCGCCGAAGATGGAGAATGAGAGGGAGAGAGAATGAGTCACTCAAGGATGCGGGATTTAGGCACACGGATCATACCACAGAAGTTGGACATACTACGATGGAACTAGAAAACGTATGAGTCAGGGAGGGAAAACGAGAGAGGATGATTACCCAGATTTGGGAAATAAGTACGAGGAAAACAAAACGAACGACAACAGAACCGTCCGGGGGCAAAACAAATGTTTCGTAATTAAAACGAGGCAACGTGTGGAAAATAGAACGCGAAGAGGAAGCACAAAGCAGTGTCTTGAAGAAAAAAGTACAGAGACGTTAGGGAAGGAAGAAAAACTGGTATGTGAGTGGGAGGGAGAGAAAGGGAGAGGAGAGAGTAATAGGAAATAAAAAAGAGCGAGAGGGAAGAGAAAGACATTGATAGGGAGAAAACGAGAAAGAGGACAGGGGAAGCAACACAAAGAGAAGGGGACAAAGGAGAGAAGTGGCAGCCACAGAGCTACGGAGCCCAGCAAAATATCGTCGGGAGCGCCGATCTATGCGAGTCGAACCGAGTCGCCCCACCCGATCGCCGCTTGCGCCCCGTCGCGAGACAAGCGCAGCGGCGCGCGCGCGCGAAATTAAAAAGCGAAACAGAAAGCGCCCGCGCCACGCACGCCCTCTGCCATAAATTACGCTCGTTGCACGCAACGCCCCGTCGCCGCCGCCAAATCGCATCCGACGAAATTCCTATTAGGCCGACGGGGCGGAGGGGCCGGGCAGCGGGGCGACAGGCAGGCGAGGAGAGCAGGCGTCATAAAAAGCGTGGGCCGCTTAAAAGACCGCAGCGCCCGCAGCCAAACACGTTACGTCGCGCTGTATTTGTTCGGTGTCCGCTCCGCGTCTCGCTGAGTTACAATTGTCTGTGGAAACGTTGTACCGGCACAATTAGAGGCGAGCTGGGGCCGGGTCGGCGATTCTGGGGCGGTCGTGCGCGGGCGGCGGACAGGGGGCGGCGGAGTAATTGATGGCCGACGATGGACGAATACCAAAACGGCGCCGCCTGCCCCCTCGCTCCCTTCCCGCCGTCCACCAGCGCCTCCTTAAAGAAAGGTCCGCCGCGTTCGGTTGAGACGACGCAGCGAGTAGGGCCGTCAGTGACAAAGCGGCAGAAGGCGCAAGGGAAACGTAGGCAGTCGTTGCTAATATTTTGTTGTAGGGAGTTTTGTCTTGATGTTTTATTGTAATTTTATACTGTAAAGCAAATTTTACTATATTCGCAAAATATGTGACTCAAGGTGTCAAAGAAATTATCAAAGAAATGCTACAGTTTGTACCGTATGTTTAAAGGTTGTATTGATTTTCTAATACATCTGGTCAAAGTGTTATTATGAAATACGCCTTTCAATATAAAGTTCTTAATAGAATCCGATTGGGAGCGATCTCCGACTAGTAGCGCATCGTCATAGATAAATAAATGAAACTGAGTCTTGTTATCACAACGGACCAACCGGTCTAATGCTTGAGGGAGAAGAAGAAGAGTCTTGTTGTTCTTCTTAACATTTTTATTTTTCGGTTCATGTGATGATTTTGCAAGACCGAAACATCTTGTTTATTTTGACGAACACGGTGCTGCAGTTTCGACAACGCCATCACATTACGAAACCGGAGAGCGCACAGATATACTTAAAGGCCACTAATTGCGTTGAAAGGCTCGTGGATTGCCACGATAGTGCCAGACGAGCTACAGCCTCCAGAAAGCAACCCCGACTCGGTGGCGAAGTGCGTCGCCCTCCCCCAAATTAATCAATAAATAATAAGAACACGCGACAATTGTAAGTTAAAGACTTTCAAACCTACGTAAATTTCCACAGCGCCATTCTGTTAACAGATTACAGACATGGTTATGGTACGTTAGCTGTAAGAATAGCTTTAACTACATTATAAGTACTGTCTTCTCCCTTCTGCCGCAAATGGTAAATACAGTTGAGGCACACGCACCCCAAAATAAAACAAATTACCGCCTCGTCAAGGTTACTGGGGGGAGGGGGAAAGAAAAGAAAGAAGCCTCCTTGGTGGCAAACCAATGGTGCACCCACTACTCCGTTTGTATCCCCCGCGCGAGACAGGCTTCCCACGGCCACGGAGGCGTCAGGCCTGGGCCCGCGCGCCCTTCCGTCATACGTCCGTCGCCTCCCGCCGCGCCCTGTCCCGTGTCGCGTCGCCCTCGATGCTATCGCCCTCGCCCTCGCCCCCGCCCCCGCCTCCCCCCGCAGGCCGCCCCGAAACCCGAGCCCCCTCGCTCCCAGGGGTGCCCCGCGCGCCCTCCGCAGTGCAGGCGGGCTCCACACGAACTTGCTCGCACAAAGGACGGCTCGGATTATTCACCACCGGAAAGGAAACTAAACAGCGCTTGAAGCGTTGCTTTTGGAACGGCCAGTCGACCCCCCAAAAGCACTTTCACGGCGCTCGTGGCGTAATGGCAATCACACAGGCCCTCCACTTCTAGA